TATATATATATATATATATATTTTAAAATAACTTTAAAATAAGAAAAATGACCCGTTAAATTGTTTAAACATTAGGGGAACCGCATGGGCGGGGTGCTTCGTCCCCCCCTCCGTGCATCTCCCTCCTGTCCTCGGTGCATGCACAATGGATGATTATTGAACTATATATGGCACGAAAAGCATCAAGAAATACTAAATTGATAGGGTGCCTCTTGCATATGCGGTGTTCATGGAGATCTCTACTTCTTTAAAAACAAAAATAAACTCTTGATAATGAATATCTCATCTCTCGCATTGATAAAGTACATAGTAAAAAGAGAAAATACACTTTAAGGTATTCACAATAAAACATTTTCAATTGGTCTCTCCCTCGTCACGCTATATCTATCTCTCATCATTCATAGTTTGTCCCAAGTAAAATGAACTTTTTTGAGATTTTCATGATTCTCAACTATTCTTTCTATCCTATATTAATTGTTTGCTTTTCCTTTTATACGTTTTTTAAGAAATTATAAATAAGAAGGATACTTTTCCTAATTTATCTTTTGAGATTTTCTTTTTGATCTTTATAAATTATTTACACTTTCAAAAAAAAGAATTAATCGCAAAAGCAATGAGAAATTTTCAATTAATTCGATCTTAATTTTACAATTTAATTAACAAGTAATTTGGAATAATTATTTATATTAACATGGATATATAACTAATATGAGATATACAATACATATATTAATCATAATGATATTATTGTCATTATTGATATTGTTGAGATGATAGTTCTATTAAGTGAACAAGATCAACTTGATCGTCATTCTGTTGGAAAATAATAAATACAACGATCTTTTAATTATATCACCTTTTGAATATAATTAATTTATTTTAAATATATATATAATTATAATCAATAAAAATCAATTAGGAACTAAATAGTGATAAATTATTTTTGAAATATTTTTCAAACTGAATAAGTACTAATTTGATATTTATTTTATATTATAGTGGATAAATAAAAATAAACGTTTATCTCAAAAGGTACTATATGCATAATGACAAATCCTTATATTCAATAGCCATGCAATTCTTCCATTAGAAATTGTATTTTTAATTTAATTAGACTTGAGTGGGACATAGTTTTTCTTTTTTCAATCAACAGTCCACTATGGTGGCTTCTTGGTGTGTGGGGGGGATTGACTTTAACCCAACCTAACCTCGTATATTAAAGAAGAAAATAAGTACATGGAGAAGGACATCGACTATAGCCTCTAAACAAGTAAAAAACACTAACTCAACAGATTTTTTTTTTGTCTAGATTCGCATCGAAAAGTTTCACAATATTAAGATAAAATGCTCCCAAACAAAGATAATTTCATATTTAGAGAGACTTAAATTCGAGATCTCTAATTAAAAATGAAGGAGATAGACCTAATTATTCTGTCGATCATTGTCTTTATTCCTCACTTTTTATTGACATTTGAATCCATAGGCTTATTTTATTAACTTTAATAACCTTAGCAACCTTTTTATCTCTTTAACTTTCCTAATGTCCTTGTTACTTATATTTATTATGTTGGCCGGCCTAGTTCTAGATCCATTAGACCTTCAGCTATTAAATAGGCTCTAGTAACACGTTTTCTAATAGCACTCACTCACCAGCCAATCCGAACAAGTAGAGTATATAAATGGTAAAGCATACACCATCTGTTCCACTTTGATTCTCAAGATGATAAATTTTCTTCTCCTCCCACCCCTAGGATGGTGTTTTCATTTATTGTTGCCTTAATCAATTTATGTTAAATGCATGGTCTTCCTTAAAGTATTTTGACAAAAGTTTTACTTAGGTTGGCCAACATAAATCTATTGTGGTACCGTGAAGAAAAGAACATAGATCTGGTACTAATGGGTACACTACTTACCTCTTTGCATAAAACAATAACTGGCTCTCAATATCTTCGAACACAATGTTATAAAATACTTTTATTTTCTATATAACTCTCTGCACCCTTACATTATTAGCTGGATATATACCTCGGTAAAATGGAGCCATGGAAAGACTTGAGTGGAGAAATAGTGATGGTGATGGGTGTCATCAGGAATCTGGCAAGAATTGTGTCTCGACTTGGCGAAAACCGGTTGCAGCATCACTGCTGCCGCTCGTCATGTTGACAGGCTGAAATCTCTCTGCAACCACATTAATTCAGAGGGGGGCCCCCAGTATGCATACACCCTCGAGCCTGATGTTACCATTGAGGCCGCTGTGCAAATGGTTATATCACAATCAAATAAGCATCAGATGACTCAGACATATACTCACAACTGAAGAAGACAATCAAGCCAACTAAACACGCCAGTCAACATAATAAGAATCAACAAGGCTTAAAATCATCAAATCGTAGTTTAGGCAAATCTAACTTTTTCAAAGTGAATTACTTTTAGACATGATGAATTAAGAACTTGCTCTGTCCCACAAGCACTTAATCATAAAATCGGCTAAACTATGTATCAAACACCTTAGAAGTATGTTTTTGGTTGAAAAAAAAACATATTTAGAGGTTTCATCTTAACTTACCTTAGCTCAAAATGTATGTCAAGCGCCTCTAACGTCCACATCACACTCACAAGTTCCAATCTACACATAGAAAGTCTTAACAACAACTATTCGTAATAATTAAGTTCAATCCATATTTGTTAGCGAAGATGAAAGAATACTTGAGAAATAGAAGGACGTTTGAATATTTCTACCAATTGATAACCACTTTTGTTCGATCAATGATAAGATCCATCGATGAAGCGAGCAAGAAACAACTAATGACCATGGGGAGTACAGTCACTAGTAGTTTTCCCCTCATTCCGCTTTTTGTAAATATAGTCGCTAGTAGTTTTCCCCCTCATCCCGCTTTTTCTAACAACCACATAGTTGGTCCATCCACCCGTACTTTTTTACCCTCAATAAGCATATAACTAATGTGTCACCTGTGCACACTTCTCTCTGTATGTTTTTAACTTAAGTAATACTCCATATACTAATAGTTTCTTTCACACACAAAAGGTTGATCATGGGGAGTAAGAAAGAGCAAATCCTTTCTTTTGCAGAGTATAATAGAAATAACTCACAAAACCACTGGGCAAAAGGAACAGGTTGTGAGAGACATAGGGTACCTGAACGGGGTTCATTTGAACCCCTTTCCTGAGAAAATTATACTATTACTATATATACAAGATCAAAATTAACTTTTTACGTATAATCCCCTTGGCTTCTTTAGATGTTTTTCTTCTTTATATTCTGAATCCCCTTATATAAAAAACCAAAAGCTGATGTCTTTGTTTGATAAGTAGAATCCTGTTCCAAAATGCTTCACCAACCATAAAGCAAACAACTTTTGTGCATTACTCTGGAATCTGTATTACTAGCAAATGCAAACTCTTCAGTACATGAGCATTACACAAGGCTGGTAATTTAAGCATATTTGATGACACAAACTGTAGTGTCTGTGAGCTTTTCATCCCAACACTTAATAATTAAGTGATAATATACCCATAACGATGGTGGTAAAGTGATAAATACTCTTTTATTCTTAATCAGAAGTTTCGTGTTCGAGCCTATTGGAATTCAATTTTCAGCTAATTAAAAACAACAATGCAACGGAAAATGAAATACCTTAGATTCAAAAAAAGACCTCCTTTTTAGCCTTTAAGCAGAAAGCTCTCTCTTCTTTACAGAAACAGAGAAATGGCTGTGCTCCATATACATTATTTGCTTGGCCGTAACAATCCGACCCGACCCATGAACTCAGATTCCTTTCCGGTGAACGGAGGAGAGGATTATTGTCGATTTTTGAGGAAATAGGAAAAATGGATCATTATGTTTGTGTTTAGCTACAAAATAGTCCCTTTAAATGTGCTTTAAGTAATTTTGGTCTTTTAAATTTATCAAAAGTTAATTTCTGTCAATTATTTAACAAAAAAAGCTTTGTCTCTCTGTTTGATTTGAACCAACAAAGGGAACTATAGTATTAATAAAGAAGGCCACTGAGCTTCAAGACATGTTTTGATAAATAGTTGGTAGGGAACTCGCAAAAAACATGATACTTCAATATGTTATTAACCATTATTACAAGCTTATAAGTTACCAATGATCTAACATATAATCTTACAAAATAAAAATTTGCATTTCTAGATCTTGGCTTCAATAGCAGAAGACATGGTAAATGGTGAAAAACCATGATCAAGACTAGCTTTCCATACTTTGTCAACATCAAACATCATGTCACCACACTCGTGCTCGTTCCAACCCTCAGACGCGTGCAAAATTCCAGCTATTCTCGATGCACTCATCACTCTTCTTGGCAGCCAGTTCTTGAATTACAAGACAAAATCAATCGTCAATAAATAATCAAAACTTAAACAGAAAAAATTTACTATGAGGATATTAAATAATCTTTTCTGACCTCACAAGAGTCTACATTTTGAAGATGTTTTGGACAAATCATGGCTGGTGTGCTGAAGTAGAAGCAATCCTCACGAACTTTCTTTAGTGGAAATGGTGAATAAGGAATAAATAATGTTCCTTTTGGTGCTTTCAATTGCTCATCTTCACACAATCCATCATCTACTAGCCATGTCTGCAATATATCGCGTCAAAATCAATCAATTACTTCCTAATTCTTGAATTATATCACGATTATATGTTATAGTACTACCTTTGAAACACAAGTACTTTTCGACAAGACCAAATTAGCTGCAGCCTCGGGGGTAAACCTTGCTTTAAGTTCAATCAACAACTTCCTAATTCTTGAATTATCACAAGATTATATGTTATAGTACTACCTTTGAAACACAAGTACTTTTCGACAAGACCAAATTAGCTGCAGCCTCTGGTGTAAGCCTTGCTTTAAGTCTCTTGTACTCTTCTTCGTCTAACGTGACAACCTATATATGTATACAAATTTTATGATGGATTGGAGAGATTAAAGGAAAACCAAAGTCAAGGAGCTAGGATAGTGTAAGAAGATTATTAATACCTGAATTCCTCGTTGACACAAGGCGAGGGCAATAGTGTTAGCAACTTTGGACAAACGACGAGCTTGTAGTACCACTTGGGAAGTTCCTTTAGGAATGGAGTTGAGAACCACAGCAACAACTAGGCTACTTCCATCTACCACGTTAACTTTCAGCTCAGGATGCTTCCTTATGTAAATTTCACCATTTTTATTCAACTTCTCTTCCTATAACGTAAGTTCCATTTGTATAAGTATCAACTCATTAGATCTTTAAAAATATTGAAGATTCTATATCTGAATTTACATTGAAAACTAGATAGTTTGACCTTTGAACTCCGAATCCTCTCACATAAAGAGGGACAATGCAAACAGAGTATAAGTTTACTTGCCTGATTTAAGAGTCCAAGGCTCAAAACCTTTACGCCTTTCTGATCTGCTTCCATGATGGCTTCCTTGATCAAATTATTAATACTCTTTCTTTGCCATTGACTAAAGTACTGTAAAAAAAAATCAAGAATCATGATAAATGATAACAGATCCATATTAATAGGCAAAACAATTAATCAATCTTGAATACGATATAGATTATTACTTGTTTGCGAAACTTTGGAATAGCCCAAGTTTGTAATTTGAGATCCTTGAACAAATTCCTCTCGATAACAAACGTGTGACTATAAATCCAAGTAATCACTATTTTATTTATATTAACATGGATATATAACTAATATGAGACGGAGGAAGTATATAATACATATATTAATCATAATGATATTATTGTCATTATTGATTGTTGAGATGATAGTTCTATTAAGTGAACAAGATCTACTTGATCGTCATCCTGTTGGAAAATACTTAATATTCTTAAGAAATAATAAATACAATGATCATTTAATTATATCACCTTTTGAATATAATAAATTTAATTTGTTGAAAACTTATAATTGTAATCAATAAAAATCAATTAGGAACTAAGTCATGATAAATTATTTTTGAAATATTTTTCAAACTGGATAAGTACCAATTTGATATTTTATTTTATAATATAATGGATAAATAAAAATAAACGTTTATTAGAAACTGTTGATTAGTCTTGAGTGGGACATAATTTTTCTTTTTTCAATCAACAGTCCACTATGGAGGCTTTGAAACGGCACAACCTCGTATATTAAAGAAGAAAATAAGTACATGGAGAGGGACATCGACTATAACCAACAAGAAAAAAGATGAGGTGGATATCAGCTTAAAGAGCATGCCATCGACTCAACCAACAAACGTTTTGCACCGGAAAGTGATATCGAATGTAAAATGTTCTCAAATAAAGATAACTTTGTACTCAAAGGGACTCAAACTAGAGATCTCTAATTAATAATTAATGAAGGAATGTTTATCACTTTATGAACCTTATTCTGTCTTTATTCCTCACCTTTTATTGACATTTGAATCCATAGGCTTATTTTATTAGACTTTAATAACCTTGGCAACCTCTTTATCTCTTTACTTTCCTAATGTCTTTTTTACTTTTATGAGATGGTGCTTATACATATCAGGTAGGATCGGAGGAGATTATAAGATGGAGAATTCAATTCTTCTTGATAAGGTGAAGTTTCAGATAATCAATCAATACTGAGCTACATATAATTGCATGAAGGTGTATTTTCTACGTATCAGAGTCAAATAATTCAATTTTTAATTAATAGTGCATGAAGTAGTCAACTATATATATTAAGCACATGGCCTCTGAATTTCGTTCAATACAACGTTAACAATTTAGTTCAAACTAGAACTACATAAATGTACAAATTACTTCTAAAATAATTATATCCTTGTCTATCTATAGTACTTAGTCAAAATGTGTGGGTAAATTAAAAGATTATAATTTCGTTCAATACAACGTTAACAATTTAGTCCAAACTAGAACTACATAAATGTACAAATTACTTCTAAAATAATTATATCCTTGTCTATCTATAGTACTTAGTCAAAATGTGTGGGTAAATTAAAAGATTATAATTTCGTTCAATACAACGTTAACAATTTAGTCCAAACTAGAACTACATAAATGTACAAATTACTTCTAAAATAATTATATCCTTGTCTATCTATAGTACTTAGTCAAAATGTGTGGGTAAATTAAAAGATTATAAATCAAGTTGTGATTTGAACAAATCTATATTGCACAACTACTTCATTGTTTAACTGTCTAGGCCGACAATTATTAAAAGAAAAATATCTGATCACGTCAACGTGAGAAATTCACGAGATATAATTATGTCAAGTTAAAGTGTCCAGTTGATCAATAAAGAACTTCAAGTATCAAACTTTAGTTATGAATCGAGAAAATGGCTAAATGAGCCCCCAACCTATTACCGAATTCCCAACTACACACTTATACTTTACGGGGGTCCTATTACCCACTGAACTATTTAAAATTGAAATTATTACCTCCCTAAATGCCTACGTGGCAAAGTGAGTGTATTTCACTCTCTCAAAGAGTGAAGACCAAAAATAGATATTAAAACTTTATTTTTAATATTTTTTTCATTTTCTTCCCCTTAATTTGTTTTCTCTGTTTTTTTTTTTTTTTTTAATTTTAAAAAAGAAGTCAAATTAAAACACCCAAAGTAATTGAAAAATCAAAACAAACAAAATAAATAATAAAAAAAAAGCTACAGAACAATTTGTAAACTAAGCTCCTTTCTTCCTCAGAGCTCCAAGCGACGGTCCGACGCCACCGCATTAATGCCAAAAAATCGAGGTACATAGTTGAAGCCAACCTCAATCACACCAAACTTGAAACTCCTACGAAATTGCCAACTATATTACTCTCATTATCATAGATCTGCCATGGAAATAACACAAAAAGCTTGGATAGATTTCATCCAAGACAACTATCTCATCTCTAATTTATTTTTCTTCTTTTTAGCAACTTAGTAGAGCATTCATGTCAGCCATCAAATTTCACCATCACCATCTAGAAATCATCACCACAAATCATAGATAGAAATCTCCTTCCCACTCTCCACAATAAAAAACTATTAAATAAATTACTTTACACCCATTTTCAAAATCAACTAATAGTCATTAAAACTACATTGAAATATCATTTTGAAGCTATTGTAACAAATTTTTAGGTAACAAAATCCATTCAAACAACTTAATAATGATGGAAATCTCTAAAATAAAATAAAAAATCTCAAAATTTCCTCATTGGAAAAGATTGTGACGGACAATTTATTTTTTAGGTCAATTAAATTGACATTAAATTTTATCATTTATGCACCTATTCCATGACCATAAATTTAATAATAATTTTAGATTTAATAAAAAAAGAATTTTAAAAAGGGAAGAAAAAAAAAGAAAAAATGGCATTGATGTGTTCAAGGATTTAAAGAAAAAGGAAGAAAAGAAAGGAAAGAAAAAAGGAAAGAAATGTCAGTCAAAAAGGTAACAGAATAAAAAAAACAAAAAATTACATGTGTCAAACGCATGGATTTCACTAATCAACATAAATATGATTGTGACTTTTTAAGAAGATAATAATTTCATTTTTAAATAGTTTAGAGGGGTAATAAAACCTCCGTGAATTGTAAGTGCGTAGTTGAAAATTCAATAATAGATTGATGGCTCATTTGATCATTTTCTCTTATGAATCAAAAGATTAGTTCCTCATTGTCTAGTTGCAATAGTTAATACCTACCTTGTACTTTTGAATATATAATTAGGGTCATTTGGTATGGTGTACTATAGTTAAATATAGGATTGATATTAAATTTATACCTTAATAAAATAGTATTTGCTTGCTATTTTATTCCCTAGTACAGATTCGAAATAATAACAAAAAAATATATAAGCAATAGTACATGTATTATTAAAATATTAGGTATCATGTAGAAGAAAAAAAAAATACTCCTTAAACAATTTGCAATTTGCTTTAGGTACTCATCGTTTATATAGTTTACTATTTAAATTATAATAGGTAAACATACCTTCGAATTTTACCTCAGCTAACAAGTAAATACTTTAATTTTGAGAGTGTACATTTAGATAAACTCAACTTGTTCCCACTGTATTAGTAGAACACTCTAACTTACAAATTCAAATGATCATTTATAAAGTACACTTCCAAAATATGATGTCGAAAATAGATTGATTTTATATCACCTTTCAATTCGAATTAGCAAAAGCAATTTGTCCTTGCATAATATGGATTCTAAACATTCATGATCTGGATGTGAATGGGTCGAATGACTTATCCCTCGGTTTATTAGTGACCATCTCTCCAGGGATTGTGAAAGATGTTCTACTAGAAATATTCTTGTTATTGCTTCGATTCATATTCCCCAAAATTGGATCCCACTCTAATAGCTCCGAATAAATTAAATATGTGCGTTAAGATCGAAAACACTTTTTCACTCTTTCATATATTAAGAGATTTCTTGAGAAAAAAATGTTATTTATGCGTCATGTTGGTGTCGGATGTTCATGAGTCATAGTGAGAACAAGTTGAAGTGTTCGGTTGATACACGTTGAGTTGATGACTACATATACACTCTTAAAATTAAAGACCTTACCTACCAATTGAGATCAAGTTTAAATTTCTATTGATGTATATTATGCATAAACTAATTTCATATAATATATTTAATGTAATTAACTTATTTACCTACGTGATGAATGCTTGCAAATTAAACCACTCACAAAGCATATCCAAATTTTTAGCTTATAAAGTGTCTTATATAGTGACATTTTATGTACAAAAATCATTTGATATATACTCTTGCTGTTCTCAATTTTTTTTTACTGATATACTCTTGCTGTTCTCAAAATAAACCATTGACATAATATATAATACCCCTGCTAACAAGGAAAAATTGATAAGAAAATAAAATAAAATAAAATTTGACATACATTTCGTTCACTTGGAGAATTGAACAATAATACGACTAATACAATGAGAAAAACAAGAAAATCTTACTAGTTCAGTTGATTGACTATTTGAACTTTCACCTTATTGACGTGGTTTGTAAAGTACAAAATTATTACTTCATCTTTTACAATGATGAGAAAATGGGAACACCTGGTAAGGTACCTCCACCATCGACAATGAAGATATTGCCCGTTACATATTCAGAAGAATCATGAATCAAATATCGAATTACTGATGTTAAAGCTGGATCTGTCGTTCCAATATATCTCTGAGGAAGGGTTTTATAAAGAAATTTATGTAACCATTTTTGTTGAAAAAGGCTCTCTGTTATCTCAGATTTGAATATTCCTGGTGATATTGAGTTCACTCTGATCTTGTCTACTCCTAATTCAAGAGCCATTATCTGCAATTCAATCATGATCAAGTAGATTTATCATAATCTATAAACTCAAAATACTGACTCAACACGCATAGTGAAATATCTATGTGGAAGAGAGCTAATAACAAGTCATCTCAACGTACATTCATCTTTAAGTCTATAGAAATTAATTAACGTACCTTAGTGACCATGTCAAGAGCCATCTTTGAAGAAGCGTAAGCAAGAGTCCCTGGTGTTATTACTCGATTTAGAGCAGCTATTGAAGTTATATTAATAACAGATCCTCCACCTTGTTTAGCATCGCGCATATGTCTACAAACATATTTTGACACTAACCATGCCCCTCTTAGATTTGTCCTAAAGGTATGTTCCCACTCCTCCTCTGACAATTTCAGTGAAGAGCTCACACTACCTATATAAATTAGCCGATTTTCTATTATCAGTAGCGGAAACAGAATTTCATACTATAAATCAACATATATGTACGTTAGTTAGCAATGCTATGTTCAATTATATTACCTCTAACACCGGCATTGTTAACCAAGACATCGATACGTCCAAAGGCGTCCCAAGCAATTTTGACCGCGGCCTCAATAGTGGCACCATTAGCCATGACATCAAGCTCGAGGGCGAATGCACGCCGGGCCGGGCCCTCTGAATTAATCTGGTTGCAGAGATTTGTCAGCCTGTCAACACGACGGGCTGCAGCAATGATCCTGCAACCGGCTTTCGTCAAGTCGAGACAGAACTCTACCCCGATTCCCGAGGAAGCCCCTGTCACCATCACTACTTTCCCAGTCAGGTCTTTCCATGGCTCCATTGTTCAATTTAATTATTATGCTGAAATAATGCAATAGTGAGAGAGTTATACATGCAGAGTTCAAGAATCTAAGTTGGCCAGCCTAATTAGCACTATCGTACCTCGTGAACCGTAAATCCTTAAGAACAACTTGTATCAAATTATATTATGCAGTATTACAGTGATGGAATCAAAATTTTCATAACAGTTCAAAATATTAAAAAGTAAACACACAATTTAATATTACTAGTTGTGATTATTGTAATTAGTTTAAATACAATCATGTGGTTGAATTTTTCTAATTATAGATCTTGAAATACATCAATAATTTGTTCTAATTACAACTTGATTTATAATCCTATAATTATTAATTCACACATTTTATAAATAAACCAACTATACACAAGGGATAGAATTATTTAAGAAGTAATTATTAGTACACTAGATTTAATTTAGACAAAATTGTTAACGTAGTATTGAACAAAAAATTAAGAGGCCGTGTGCTTAATTGACTACTTGATGCACTATAAATTGTGTGTGTATTTGGACCATTCCATGTAACTAGTCCAATATACAAAAATACAAGCACCTCTCTAGATCTGTAATCGACGATATGTATTAATTAAATAACTTTGTTGTATCTTTTTCTTAGTAATGAGGCCATTAGTCAAATCTGTTTTGCTATTTTTCTTAAATAACTATCACATGGTTAGTTTGTGAAGATGTGCAACTATTGAATGAATAAAATAAGCCAAATCATTAGTAAATACGTACTAAATACTGGTAGGTAATTTCAATCATTTAATTTGGATCATGACCATATACAATTATTGATACAAGTAATAGGATTAGGAGAAATAACTATACATATAGCCTTTGTCATTTTATTCATCTGGGGACAGAATTTATATATATTCTTAGTATTGTCGGTGAATGTTTTTTCTTCCTAGTATTAGATTCCAGTTTCATGTTTCATCATTATTAAAACTTTATCCATTAGAATGTTTGTTTTATTATGTAAATAATTATTAGCAATATTTAATAAACCCCAGACAGTCACGTTGTTGTTTCCATGGTCGGTGTCTGGACCCCTAATGATTGCGACCTTTAGATTCCAATTAGATCTATGCATAATAATAAAATATATTTAATAATTTCATATAGTATAAAAAAGGGAAAATTACGCGTATAAGCAAATATATACTAGTTAATTACTTAATATAACAATAGTTTACCTTAATTATAATTCACAACTTACTTTTAGCTATAATTACACAGCTCAGTTTTTTAGTTTTGTATAATTCGCGCATTTGTATAATTCAGAATTTGTATAATATAATTTGTATAACTTTTGTATAATTCAGAATTTGTATAATATAATTTGTATAACTTTTGTATAATTCAGAATTTGTATAATATAATTTGTATAACTTTTGTATAATTCAGAATTTGTATAATATAATTTGTATAACTTTTGTATAATTCAGAATTTGTATAATATAATTTGTATAACTTTTGTATAATTCAGAATTTGTATAATATAATTTGTATAACTTTTGTATAATTCAGAATTTGTATAATATAATTTGTATAACTTTTGTATAATTCAGAATTTGTATAATATAATTTGTATAACTTTTGTATAATTCAGAATTTGTATAATATAATTTGTATAACTTTTGTATAATTCAGAATTTGTATAATATAATTTGTATAACTTTTGTATAATTCAGAATTTGTATAATATAATTTGTATAACTTTTGTATAATTCAGAATTTGTATAATATAATTTGTATAACTTTTGTATAATTCAGAATTTGTATAATATAATTTGTATAACTTTTGTATAATTCAGAATTTGTATAATATAATTTGTATAACTTTTGTATAATTCAGAATTTGTATAATATAATTTGTATAACTATTTGCACTTCTTCGTTATTTCGAGTTTATACAAAAATAACTGAATTATACAAATGTACCTGCGAATTATACAAACCTGCGAATTATACAAATTCGCGAATTATACAAATGAGGCAGCTTAAACTATAGCTACAACCCGTAAATATGCAAACTATAGCTATGAAGTATAATTAAGTTTATTATAATGGCTATTTGTGAAAGTTCCTCATTAAAAATTATAATAAAAAAAGTCCTATTTAGTAAGAGTAGGATAGATTAGGTTATGACCTGTATTTTGTTCAATTTTATTGTAAGTAACTTTTACTTATGAGCAAGTCAATAATTCACGACTCAATTCATTTCGATCCATCCACATTCATCTTTATCCTCCCAATTTTTTAACATAATCATACTACATATATTATAAATGAAAAGACCCCAAGTAATTAAACGTTAGAATTATGAAAGTGTCCTCATAAAGTTATGGCCTGTTTTGTCATTGTTAAAACTTTTATCCAAGTTGTCTGATGAAATACTTCTACATTATATTTAAATACTGCTATATTCATAATTTACTATAACAAAAGAGAAATTTAGTGAAACTTAAAACTTTACTAGTACTTGTAGATGTTGCGATTCTTGACAATGTATTTCCATAAAAGACGTAACAATACAAATACATTATTTTAATTATGAAAACGTATACAATCGAAAATACTTATTACCACGTACAATACAATACAACGTACGTACTTAGGTCAGAAGTTATTTTTATACCAAAAAATACCCTTGTCCAGAGATGATTCATCTTTCTCGACGTAAATGCACTCGAAATCCCTCCATATTGCTTTGTAAAATGGAGTTCCATCAAATTGGTAGTATTCTCCAAGTAATGGCCTCATAGCTTTAGTTGCCTCCATTGCATGATAATGTGGTATGTTTGAGAATAAATGATGCAAAACATGTGTATCTGTTATATTATGGAACACCTTATTTAACACACCATAGTCTCTATCTACCGTAGCTAGAGCTCCTCTTAGCCAATTCCACTCTGATGAATCATAATGTGGCAATGAAGGGTGAGTGTGGTGTAACAAAGTTATTAACACTACAAAGCCATTCACAATTAGGAGGGGCACCCCATAGATGCATATCACCCATGTTAGTCCTTGTGTTAGAGCAACGCGATACAATACATAAAAAGTTGCAACCACACCTACATCTGAGATGTAAATTTGTAGTCTCTCACGATCATTGTAAATAGGGCTATATGGATAATAATGACTTGTAAAACGATCATAAGGTCTACCGGTTACATTGATGGCATAGTACAAAGGTAAGCCAATAGTGAGAGTGAAGGCAAGTATGAATAATCGTCCTAGTGGATTATTCACGTATAATTTGGTGTACCATCTTAGTTTGGTTTTAACCTTGGGTACATGATTTTCGTCATACTCAAGGGAATTAGTGTTGGAGTGGTGACGACGATGACTATATTTCCATGAAAAGTATGGTGTTAAAAGTGCAGAGTGGAGGATAAAACCGATAGTGTCATTTATCCATTTGTATTTACTGAAGGCATTGTGGCTACATTCATGGGCAATGAACCATATTCCGGTGCAAACACAACCTACAACGATCCAGTAAATAGGCCATGCTAGCATGGATGGAAGGATGTGGAAGTAAGTGGAGGCAATATAATAAGAGATGGAGACAAGCATGAGATCTTGAACAAGATAGGAGAAGGAGCGAACGAGTGATGGTTGAAAACAGTGAGGAGGGATGACCTTCTTTATATCACCAATTGTAAAAGGGGGATTTGAAATTGGTACTCTTTCGAGAGGATTTTTCTTTTGTTCAATCTTAGTTGTTGGAGTAGACATATTGCCACCGCCTCCCATGTTTTTTGTTCTTCAATTCTATCGGCACGCGAAGAATCCGCTGAGAGTTTTGTCAAAATCTGCAAAAAATAATTAATTTGTAAATAGAACAAGAAAGAAATACTTTTGGTAAAAATAGAGAAGTTTAAAAGATACCTTCTTTTAGCCTTATCTAAAAGCTAGAGAGTTCTCACTTCTTTATAGAAAAAATAGAGAACAAGAGGTCTTGCCAACTCTTTTTTAAAAAGGAATAACCATATGGTATTCCGAACTTAATTATTGGTTTGACTAGTCCAGATTCTTGCGGTGCAGGGTTCGTTATTTATTTAACATGAAAGTGTTTTCTATTAAGAAATGAATATAGTCAAATTTATTTGACTGAGACCTTTGATTAAGTGCGAAAATATTCCGTTCACCCCATTACAACCTTTTAGTGGTTGACTTAGCTAGCCAAATTTATTCGTTAAAAATAGTAGATGTAGATCTGAAAATAAATTAGTATACGCTAGTAGTAAACAAAAGCGGCCATATATTTAAATTCAGTTATAAGATGTAGTTTGATAATTTTGTTTTGGACCTTAAATAAAAAAAAAGCGGCCATATATATATATATAAAATCTTCGATGAATTGAGTATGTGAGTTAAAATTTTCACTAGTTAAGATGACTCATAATATGAAGAAGTAATTAACACAATAATTTTTTTTATTAGAGTTCGTTAAAAATATGACTGTGATCATTTTAAATGAAAATAGTACAATCATGTGGCTGAATTTTCTTAATAATAAATCATGAAATACGTCAATATGGATTTGTTCTAATTACAACTTAATTTATAATATTTTAATGAACCCACACATTTTGACTAAGTACTATAGATATAAGTAATTATATTTAAGAAGTAATTAGTACACTTATGACGTAGCCTACTACTGGATTTGCATGCATGGTCAGAAATATGAGATTTCTGACTCTCCCTCGAAATCATCGGAAATTTGTGTGTTTTTTTTAAATTATATAATTAATTTCAACCAGCAATTATTTTCATAATAGAAAGTATTAGTACTCATTCACACCAAAATGATTGTTACATATAAGTAGATATTTATTTTATTGCATAATGACGGATTTAACAATACAATAGTAACAACTAAAACCAACATTTAACAATAAAATACAACAAAAACACACAATTATTCAAATACTTGCACCTTCTTAGGTTAAAACATTTAACCAATTCCAAGTAATGGGTCTCTTGGTATTCTACTTTTAAAGCTTGTTTTTATACCAATAAACACCTCTACCTTGAGATCCTTCATCTTTTTCCACATAGATGCACTCCTTTGTATCCCTCCACATTGCCTTTATAATTGGGGTATCATCAACTTGGTAGTAATCTCCTAGCAATGGTTTAATAGCGTTGGTCGCCTCCATTGCATGGTAATGTGATATGTATGAGAATATATGATGCAAAACATGAGTATCTGTAACATTATGGAACACCTTATTTAGTATACCATAGTCTCTATCTACCGTAGCTAAAGCTCCTCTTAGATAATCCCACTCCGATGAATCATAATGTGGCAATGATGCATGAGTGTGGTGCATAAGAGTGATCAGCACTATAAATCCATTCACAATTAGGAGAGGCACTCCATAGATGCATAGAACCCAAGTTAGCCCTTGTGTCATAGCAAGGCGGTATAATACATAAGTTGTTGCAATCACACCTGCATCTGAAATGTAGATTTGCATTCTCTCGCGGTTAGAATATAATGGGCTATTTGGATCGTAGTGACATGTAAAACGTTCATATTTTTTGCCTGAGATATTGAACATCAAGTATAAAGGCCAGGCAAAAGTAAGGGTGAAGGCAAGTACGAATACTCGTCCTAATGGATTGTTCAAGTATTTGTAGTACCATCTTAGTTTGGATTTAAACCTAGGTATGTAAACTTCATCATTCTCAAGGGAACCTGTGTTGGCATGGTGACGACGATGACTATGCTTCCATGCAAAGTATGGTGTTAAAAGTGCAGAGTGGAAGATAAGACCAACAGTGTCATCTACCCATTGGTAATCACTAAAGCCATGATGACCACATTCATGGCCAATGACCCATATTCCAGTGGAAACACAACCTTGCGCGATCCAATAAGCAGGCCACGCAAGGTAAGTTAATGGGGATGGAAGGAGGTGGAAGTAAGTGTTGGCAATATAATAGAAGATGGAAACAAGTATGAGATCTTGAATAAGATAAGAGAAGGAGCGAATTAGAGAACGTTGGAAGCAGTGAGGAGGAATAGCCTTCTTGACATCGCCAAGTGTAAAAGGGGGCTTTGAAGATGGAACTCTTTGGAGATGATTTTTCTTTTGTTCATTTTTAGTTGTTGGAGTAGACATATTTCCACCAGCTCCCATTTGTACTCCTCAATCCTTAAATCTGCACCAATTAAGTTTACCTCAAATCAATTTTGGTTTACTATATAAAAAGTAAATATGAAATAATTAATGTATCAAACAGAAAAACAATTCAATTATGGCAAATCAAACATAAATGTTTCTTTAGTAAAAGAAAACGTTTAAGTTCATAGTTTTTGATATGATAATAACCGTTTAATCCTAACAACTGGTATTAAAGCGAAGATCAAAAGTGATATTCTTTTAGCCTTACTCTGTTCTTTAAGAAAAAGAGGAAAAGATGAGTGGTTTCTCCCTTTGTGAAAATATTGTGTGTATATAATGGTAATATGTGGGACCCACTAGCCATCCTATTTTGACAAATCCATGCACATTTGCCAATTTTATTAGTTTATCAATGGCAAATGTAGATCATAACAAAAGAGCCAGTTACTTGGCAGCTTCACATGCATATTATTTTCCTGTCCATAATGTAATTTAACTTCAAATATTAGTCTATTTGATTATCGGTCACATAAATTTGGACACAGAAAGTAACTCACAAGCATACCGTGCTTTATTCAACATTTCTATAGAGTATTCCTTGCTGCTTGAGTCTTAGAATTTTTGTGACAACTTTCTATGGTGACTATTAATCGTCGCTAAAAGTTAAGTTTTCGTGGCAAGTTAAGCAGTTGCCACAAAAGGTATTTGCGGCAACTTTATAAGTTGCGACAAATATAATGCTCAATTTTTCGTGACCTCTTTACAATATTATATATGTATTAATAGAGAATTAAAAGTTCCTGTCTTCGGGATCAGGGCAAAGAAGCACATTCATTGCGATAAATAAAAGATTTTGTGGTAATTATTCAGCGACAATAACATAATTAATGTTATATATATATATATATATATATATATGATATATATAATCAA